TGTGTGTCTGTCTGTCTGTCTGTGTGTCTGTCTGTCCGTCCGTCCGTCCGTCTGCTGCTGCCCTCTGCTGCCGTAGCCGGGCGGGGATTCTCTGTTTTGGGGAGGTTTTGTTTTTGGGGGGTTGGGTTTGGGGTGTCAGAGCTCGGCTCGGGGTGAAGAGTGCGGGGAAATGTGTCCTCATCTTCATCTTCGTCGTCATCCTCGTACCCCTTCTCATCATGCTCATCGCCATCCTCGTCTTCATCCTCATCTTCATCGTCATCCTCATCCCCATCCCCATCCTCATCCCCCTTCTAATCATCCTCACCCTCATCTTCATCCTCATCCTCATCCTCATCTTCATTTTCATTGTCATCCTTGTCCTCACACTCATCGCCATCCTCGTCTTCTTCATCCCCATCCCCATCCTCATCTTCATCGTCATCCTCATCCCCTTCCCCATCCTCATCACCCTTCTAATCATCCTCATCACTATCTTCATCTTCATCCTCATCTTCATCCTCATCCCCACCCCCATGCTCGTTCCCCTTCTAATCATCCTCATCACCATCCTCATCTTCATTTTCATTGTCATCCTCGTCCTCATGCTCATTGCCATCCTCATCTTCATCCCCATCCTCATCTTCATCCTCCTCATCCCCATCCCCATCCTCGTCCTCCTCCCTAGAGAAGATTTTTGCCTCGTTTTTGGGGTGAAATGTGCAGAACAGGAAGGTGTTTGGCTCCTTTTTAGGGGTAAAATGAGACAGGGAGAGATGTTTGCCCCATTTTGGGGGGAAAATGTGAAAAACAGGAGCTGTTTCCTCAATTTTTGGGAGGGAATGAGGAGTTGGAGAGGTGTTTGCTTCATCCTCATCCTCATCCTCATCCCAGGAAAGTCCCAGCGCTCCCGGTGGCCCGGCAGAGCCTCGCGGCGCTCCGTTGCTGGCTCCAGTTTTAATTAGAGCGCTTCAATTACGGAATCTGCATAGAAATTAATCAGCGCCGCCCCCCCTGCGGTCCGAGCGCGCCCTCTGCCGCCCGCACCGGCAGCTGCAGCCAGGGAAATGCAGGATTTCTCCAAGAAATAAATGGGATTTGCAATGATTTTCCACCCGAAATGCACAAAATCGGCCACAAAATTCCCAGAGCCCGGCTCTGGAAATGCGGAGCTCTGGAGCCATCCCTGACAACCCCAAACATCACCCCAAAAACAACCCCAAAAACAACCCCAAACACAACCCCAACCACAGCTCCTAACACAATCCCTAACAACTCCAAACAACCCCAAAAACAACCCCAAAACCAACCCCTAACACAACCCCAAAACCAACCCCTAACACAACCCCAAAACCAACCCCTAACACAACCCCAAAACCAACCCCTAACACAACCCCAAAACCAACCCCTAACCCAACCCCCAAAACAACCCCAAACACGACCCCAAAACCAACCCCTAACACAACCCCAAAACCAACCCCTAACACAACCCCAAAAACAACCCCAAACACGACCCCAAAAACAACCTAACACAACTCCAAACAACCCCAAAAACAACTCCAAGTAACTCCAAACAACCCCTAACACAACCCTTAACACAACTCCAAAAACAACCCCAAACAACCCCGAACAACCCCAAAAACAACACAAAACAACCCCAAAATAACCCCAAACAGCCCCAAACGTAACGAGCAGCACCCACAGTCAGCACCTCTGGATCCAAACCAATTCCAAACTCATTCCAAACTCATTCCAAACCAATTCCAAACCAATTCCAAACTCATTCCAAACCAATTCCAAACCAATTCCAAACTCATTCCAAACCAATTCCAAACCAATTCCAAACCCATTCCAAACCAATTCCAATCCCATTCCAAACCAATTCCAAACCAATTCCAAACTCATTCCAAACCAATTCCAAACCAATTCCAAACTCATTCCAAACCAATTCCAAACCAATTCCAAACTCATTCCAAACCAATTCCAAACCAATTCCAAACCCATTCCAAACCAATTCCAATTCCAAACCAATTCCAAACCAATTCCAAACCAATTCCAATTCCAAACCAATTCCAAACCCATTCCAAACCAATTCCAAACCAATTCCAAACTCATTCCAAACCAATTCCAAACCAATTCCAAACCAATTCCAATTCCAAACTCATTCCAAACCAATTCCAAACCAATTCCAAACTCATTCCAAACCAATTCCAATTCCAAACCAATTCCAAACCAATTCCAAACTAATTCCAAACTCATTCCAAACCCATTCCAATCCAATTCCAAACCAATTCCAATTCCAGACCAATTCCAAGCCAATTCCAAACCAATTCCAAACTCGTTCCAAACCAATTCCACACCCCTCATCCAGACATTTTTCCAGAAAAAAACCAAAGCAATTAACAGGAAATTAATTAATAAGGAGACAAATCCCGAGCTCTCCTCTCACCTTCCTACTGCAGAGCAGTCCCGGCCTCCGTCCCCGATCCCGGCGGTTCCTCGATTTCCCTGGATTCCTCCTGCCAAGGAAAAGGGGAATTCAGGGATTTGGGATTTTTGGGCGCTGCTGGACGTCGATGTCCGATTATCCAGCGGAAAATCGGGAATCCGAGATCAGAACGTCGGGGAAGCCGCGGAATCCGTTCTTCGTTTTTAGAGATCCCAGCGAAAGGGAAATATTTGGGTCTAAATCCAGGGTTTTTTGGGGGGGGGGGAAATGAGGAAAAAATCCCATTTTTGGAGGGGAATATGAAGGAGAGGAAGAATTTGTATCGTTTTGAGGAGAACGAGGCGCTGCAGAGGGGTTTGCCCCATTTTTGGGGGGGAATGTGAAGAACAGGAGCCGTTTCCCCCATTTTTGGAAGGGAATGAGGACAAGGAGAGGTTTTTATTCCCGTTTTTTGGGGGGGAATATGAAAAAGAGAAAGACTTTCCCCCCATTTTAGGGGGGAATGTGAAGAAAAGAAGATTTTTGCCTCGTTTTTGGGGTGAAATGTGCAGAACAGGAAGGAGTTTGGCCCTTTTTGGGAGGGAAAATGAGACAGGGAGAGATGTTTGCTCCATTTAGGAGGGAAAATGAGGAGAAGAAGAGATGTTTGCCCCATTTTGGGGAGGAAATGTGAAGAATAGGAGCTCTTTCCTCCATTTTTGGGTGGGAATGAGGATTTGGAGAGGTGTTTGCCCCATTTTTGTGTGAGAATGAGGATTTGGAGAGGTGTTTCCCCCATTTTTGGGGTGAAACATGAAAAAAAAGATATTTTCCCTCATTTTAGAGAAGAACATGAAGAATAGGAGCTGTTTCCCTAACTTCTGGGAGGAAATAAGGATTTGGAGAGGTGTTTCCCCCATTTTTGGGAAGAAATGAGGATTTGGAGAGGTATTTCCCTCATTTTTGGGTGGGAATGAGGATTTGGAGAGGTGTTTGCCCCATTTTTGGGAAGAAATGAGGATTTGGAGAGGTGTTTCCCCCATTTTTGGGTGGGAATGAGGATTTGGAGAGGTGCTTCCCCCATTTTTGGGTGGGAATGAGGATTTGGAGAGGTGTTTCCCCCATTTTTGGGAAGAAATGAGGATTTGGAGAGGTATTTCCCTCATTTTTGGGTGGGAATGAGGATTTGGAGAGGTGTTTCCCCCATTTTTGGGAAGAAATGAGGATTTGGAGAGGTGTTTCCCCCATTTTTGGGAAGAAATGAGGATTTGGAGAGGTATTTCCCTCATTTTTGGGTGGGAATGAGGATTTGGAGAGGTGCTTCCCCCATTTTTGGGGTGAAACATGAAAAAAACCCAGAGATTTTCCCCCATTTCAAAGGAGAACACGAAGAGGAGGAGGAGGAATTTCCCCTATTTAAAAAAAACATGAATTTTTTGAGGAGGAACATAAAAAACCAGCAGCATTTGCATCATTCCAGTAACGTTTTAGCACAGAAACCCTCGGCCTGCCTCGCTTCAGCACATCCTGGCAGGTTGAATTTCCAGGAAAACCTCGTTCCCAGGCTGCAGGAACGAGCTGAACTTGGGAGAGCTCCCAAAACTTTGTTGGGAACCCCTCGTGCTTCACGTCCGAGGCTGCCCTGGCCCCTTCCCAGTAAAACATTGCTCAACCCCAAGCCAGGGATGAATTCCAAGAATCCATCGGAGCTGAAATCCAAGGCTGGTTGTTTTCCCTGCTCGCTGCTTGGACGCAAACAGTTGGGGTTGGTTGTTTTTTTTTTTGGTTGTTGTTGTTTTGGTTTTGTTTTTCTGTCAAATCCACGTCAGTCATTCCGGGCTGGGGGTCAGGTCAGGGCTCCTCTCTTCCTCCTCCTCCTCCTCCTCCTCCTGTGGATTCAGGGATGGGAAACAGCCCAAAAAAAACCAGTTTAAAGTTGGTGGGGTTTTGTTTTTAAAACCAGTTTAAAGTTGGGGGCTTTTGTCTTTAAACCCAGTTTAAACTTGGTGGGTTTTTGCCTTTAAACCCAGTTTAAAGTTGGGGTTTTTTTTTTAAACCCAGTTCAAAGTTGGTGTTTTTTTTTTTTTAACCCAGTTCAAAGTTGGTGTTTTTTTTTTTTAACCCAGTTTAAAGTTGGTCAGTTTTGTCTTTAAACCCAGTTTAAACTTGGTGGGTTTTTGTCTTTAAACCCAGTTTAAACTTGGTGGGTTTTGTCTTTAAACCCAGTTTAAAGTTGGTGAGTTTTGTCTTTAAACCCAGTTTTTGTCTTTAAACAGGGATTTTTTTTTTACAGATTTCACATTCCAGCTCTCCGTGGAATTAGGAAGGTGAGAAGAGGGAAAAAAAAAAAAGCTGGAATTTGGGGCAGGTCAGGAAGAACAAAAAGGAATTGGAGATAAAGGCACAAACACCTGGAACAGCTCCAGGTTTGGAATTGCCTTTGGAATGAGGATCAGGGAATCGTGGAATGCTTTGGGGCCCACCCAGTTCCAGCCTTTCCCAGGTTGCTCCAAGCCTCTGGAATCACTTCCAGCCATTCCCGCTGCTCCAGGGGGGTTTCCCACAGCACCTGGGGGTTCTGGAGAGGCTTTAGCTGGATTTGGGATGGGGAGGATGGAAAAGAGCACCTGGATCATCAGGATCCTCATTCCTGCTGGGGAAGTCTGGATTCCCTTCAGAATCCCAAAATTGACCCAAAAGGACGGAAATTCCAGGGAATTCATCAACACAACGGAGCTGATAAACAAACAGGGGCTGGGGGAACACCTGGGAGCTTCCACGGGCAGGGAAAACACCGGGAATTTTGGGAAAAGAGCCAACCTTCAGCTGCAATCCTGACTTTGAGGGGGGGATTTTCCAAGCCAAAGCATTCCATGGAGGTGAAGCTGCTGCTGGAATCAGCTGCACACAAACCGAATCCAGCCACCTCCAAACCCATCCCAAACCCATCCTAAACCCAACCCCAAACCCATCCCAAACCCATCCTAAACCCATCCTAAACCATCCCAAACACATCCCAAATCCATCCTAAACCCATCCCAAACCCAATCCCAAACCTGTCCTAAACCCAATCCCAAACCCAATCCCAAACCCATCCCAAACCCAGTCCCAAACCCATCCCAAATCCATCCTAAACCATCCCAAACCCATCCTAAACCCATCCCAAACCCAAACCCAATCCCAAACCCAAACCCAATCCCAAACCATCCCAAACCCATCCCAAACCCGTCCCAAACCCGTCCCAAACCCAATCCCAAACTCATCCCAAACCCATCCCAAACCCCTCAGCCAGGCTGTTTTCCCAGGAAAAATGAACCCATTCACGGCAGATCCATCAATAAAGGGGACAAATCCCTTCCCTTCAGAGAACCTGCAGTGACAACACAACCCATTCCCCATTTCTGTCGGTTTTCCTCGGAATTTTGTGCTGGTTTGGATTTCTCCCTTTTCACTTTCCCTTTCAAAGCGAATCAAGGCCACTAAAAATGGTAAAATTTGGATTTTAGAGCCTTGCAGAGCCCCCAGAATTCCTTTGGGATCTGGCAGCAGCCACACCGAGACCAAAGGGAAAAAACAAGCCCGGAGTTTTCCAGAGGGACACGATCCCATCCTTGGCTTTCCCGGTGTTTACAGCCCTGCAGGATCCCGGCTCCGGCAGGGAAAACAAGGCTGAGCTCAGCCCGCTGGAATCGGCTCTGCCCCCTCCTTCCTGCCAGCCCTGGCCCGGGGCAAAGCTTTGGAACTCGATATTCCACAGGCTCCTGGTTCCGGCAGCCTGCAATTCTGGGCTGGAATTCCGGGCTGGAATTCTGGGCTGGAATTCTGGGCTGCAGGAATTCTGTGCCCCTGGAATTCTGTGCCCCCTGAATTCTGAGCTGCAGGAATTCTGAGCTGCAGGAATTTTGTGCTGCAGGAATTCTGTGCCCCTGGAATTCTGTGCCCCTGGAATTCTGTGCCCCCTGAATTCTGAGCTGCAGGAATTCTGTTCTGCAGGAATTTTGTGCTGCAGGAATTCTGTGCCCCTGGAATTCTGTGCCACTGGAATTCTGAGCTGCAGGAATTTTGTGCCCCTGGAATTCTGTACCCCTGGAATTCTGTGCCCCCTGAATTCTGAGCTGCAGGAATTTTGTGCTGCAGGAATTCTGAGCTGCAGGAATTCTGTGCCCCTGGAATTCTGTGCCCCCGGAATTCTGTTCTGCAGGAATTTTGTGCCCCTGGAATTCTGTACCCCTGGAATTCTGTGCCCCCTGAATTCTGAGCTGCAGGAATTTTGTGCTGCAGGAATTCTGAGCTGCAGGAATTCTGTGCCCCTGGAATTCTGTGCTGCAGGAATTCTGTTCTGCAGGAATTTTGTGCCCCTGGAATTCTGTGCTGCAGGAATTCTGTGCCCAATGCCCACCTTGTCCCCAGCCCACAGCTGCGAGTGCCACATCCAGGGATTCCCGGGACACCTCCAGGGATTCCTGCAACTCCAAACCTCCCTGGGCAGCCCATTCCAAGGCCTGGCCACCTTTTCCATGAGGAAATTCCCGCTGTTCTCCCACCTGCAGCTCCCTCAGGCCGTTCCCTCCTGTCCCGGTGTCCCCTGGGACCCCCCTGGCTGTCCCCTCCTGTCAGGGACGTGTGGACATTGGGAATGTCCCCCCTGATCCCACTTTTCTCCAGCCTGAGCCACTTCACAGCTCCGCCAGGAATTCTCCAGACCATTCCCAGCTCCTTCAGGAATTCTCCAGGCACTTCCCAGGAATTCTCCAGCCCGTTCCCAGCTCATTCCCTGGCCTGGCTCCAAGCCCCAGCTCCCCCAGGATTAAATTCCCTCATGGATCAGCACCACAGACTCAATCCTGCCCCTCTGTGCTCCATGGATATTCCCAGATCCAGGCCCGGAGCCAGGCTTGTCCCATCCCTAAAAACATCCCCTACAAACAGCAACCAGGGCCAGCACCCCAAAAACATCCAGGGCAGGGCTCGAAATCCTCAAAATCAAAATTTGTGAGCAAGGATTTTTCTCTGGAGCACAACCATTCCCCAGGAATTACAACAAGAACAACCTCCCTGAGTTTTCCTCTTTTTCTTTTTTCCCTGTTTTCCTCCTGGTTTGGATGAACCTGCGACTCCCAGGGATCCCAAATCCATCCCTCCCTTCCTGGAGGACACCCCAAGTGCACTAATTAGGGCACTAATTAGGGCAAAGTGACACAAATGGGACAGGAAATGGATTTTTTTGGGGTTTTTTTTTAGGAAAGTGAGGCAAGAGGAAGCAGGGATGGAGGGAAAAGGAGCAGCGGTCACATGAGGCTGCCCAGCCCCATTAGCCACGCTAATGAGTTTCTCAGTTAATTACTCGGCTCCCCGGGATGAGGAGCTGGGAGCTGACAGCAGCTCGGGCTCATCCAGGGACACACTGCCCTCTCTTGGAGACTCCAAACCCAACCCCGCCAAGGACTGAGGACAAAAAACCGCTGGAATCTCCTAAAAAAACCGAGTTTTTTAGCCAAGAAACACCTCAGGCCTGGCTGGTTATTCCTTGGAGGAGCAGGGAACACATCTGGAGCTGCTCCTGGGGCAGGTCAGTGACCCTGGACAACCTTTGGATCTCTTTAGCAAAACTCCGATTTTTTTTTTTTTTAAGGATGAAGAAATTGGAAAGATGGAGAATATTGAAAGGAGATTGATAGATATTGATAGATATTGAGAGTGGTGATATTGAATATGAGTGATGATATTGTGGTGTCACAGAGGGGCTGGGGATGGAATGGACATGAAGGATCAGCCAATTGCAGGAAAAAGGATGGAATTCCAGGAAAAAGGATGGAATTGCAGGAAAAAGGATGGAATTGCAGGAAAAAGGATGGAATTGCAGGAAAAAGGATGGAATTGCAGGAAAAAGAATGGAATTGCAGGAAAAAGGATGGAATTGCAGGAAAAAGGATGGAATTGCAGGAAAAAGAATGGAATTGCAGGAAAAAGGATGGAATTCCAGGAAAAAGAATGGAATTGCAGGAAAAAGGATGGAATTGCAGGAAAAAGGATGGAATTGCAGGAAAAAGGATGGAATTGCAGGGAAAAGGATGGAATTGCAGGAAAAAGGATGGAATTGCAGGAAAAAGGATGGAATTGCAGGAAAAAGGACGGAATTGCAGGAAAAAGGATGGAATTGCAGGAAAAAGGATGGAATTGCAGGAAAAAGGATGGAATTGCAGGAAAAAGGATGGAATTGCAGGAAAAAGGATGGAATTGCAGGAAAAAGGACGGAATTCCAGTTTGGAGGCTCCACACTGGATTTCTGTGTGGTTTCTTGGTCACCATCCGTGGAGGGACTGTCCCCACTGCCCACCTGGCACAGGTGAGCACGGCCACTGGGGCTGCACCTCACAGCCTGGGTGAACTTTGGGATCATTCCCACCCAAATTCCCACTGGGAAATTCCCGAATTTTGAGGCTCAGGGGGTGTTTGGGTGCTGCTGGCACCTACCTGGGCAGGTGTCCCCACCTCCTCCGGCACACGGGGGGAAAAGGATGGATCTTCTAAAATAAAATAAAATAAAATAAATAAAAATAAAATAAAATAAAAATAAAAATAAAATAATAAAATAATAAAATTAATAAAATAAAATAAAATAAAATAAAATAAAAATAAAATAAAATAAAATAAAATGAGACAATTTCCAGCAATTGAAAGGATCCCACAGGGAATTCCAGCTCCTCTCAACCCCAGATTTGAGCCCAGCAGCTGAAGCACCTCACACCTTTTCCCCCATTTCCAGCAGCCCCTTTTTTCCCTGTTTTTTCCCCGTTTTTTCCCTGTTTTTTCCCCATTTTTCCCTGCTGGAATCCAGCCCATCCCAGACTTATTTAAAACACCTCACACCTTTTCCCCATCTCCACCATTCCATTTTTCCCCTGGTTTTTCCCTGTTTTCTCCCTGCTGGAATCCACCCCAGAACAATTTCAATCCACCCAGCCACACGAGAGCTGTGTCCTCTGGGGTGCTTTATTTACTATAAACTATTTATTCTTTTATTTACTATTTATTTAAGTTCAGGACCTGCCTCACAGATTTTTTAGCAGGGGGATGAAATCCTAAAAATCCTCAAAGGAGATTTTTAGTGAGGATGAGAAAAGCACTCGAGGTGGCTTTTTCCATGCTCATCCAAGGAGTTTGGGATTAAAAAATACCAAAACAATTTCCATCAACTCAGACCTGGCTTTGAATTTATTCCAAAAAGAGATTTTTTTTGAATTTATTCCAAAAAATATTTTTGAATTAATTCCAAAAGAATTTTTTTTAATTTATTTGAATTTATTCCAAAAAATATTTTTGAATTAATTCCAAAAGATTTTTTTTTTTAATTTATTTGAATTTATTCCAAAAAATATTTTTGAATTAATTCCAAAAGAATTTTTTTTTTTAAATTTATTTGAATTTATTCCAAAAAATATTTTTTACTTTATTCCAAAAGAGATTTTATTTTTTGGTTTTGGTGGAGGGGGAAAATCCCCCCTGGCAGCTCCCAGGCTGTGCAATTCCATATCTGAGTCTGAAGATGGCTCCATTGGAATGAGGGATTGATTCCATGGATCCATCCATGGATCCATCCATGGATCCCTCCATCCCCCACCTGCCCAGCACCAGGCACACCAGGAATGGAGAGACAATTCCCAATTCCCTGCAGCGATCCCAGGGGATTTGCTGAAGGAAGCAGCCCCATCCATGACATCCCTGAGGCTGGGAGAGAGGGGAATTTCAACAAAAGAAAAATCCAGGGAAAAAGGAGCGACTGGTGGAAGTGAAAGACAAGGAGAGTGACAGAGATTTCAGGGAAGAAAGGGAAGAGGAAGGCAGAGCTGCAGCATTTCATCTTCTGTTCCTCCCCACAACGAGCCAATTAAAAAGCCCACACACTAAATTAATTCCAGTTCCAGGGGAGCTGGAAATACAGAGCCACTATTTAGGTTAGGGAAAATTGCTGCATTCTGCTCCTTTGTCAGGTGGCAGAGAATGACATCTGCAAAAGGGGGAAAAAAATCAAATTAAAAAAAATAATAATAAAGCAGAGTTTGGGCTCCAGCACAGGGGGAGCAAAGGAAAGGGAATTCAGGGATTTGAGGGTTTGAGGAGCCTCATCCCCACAGACATGGGGCCAGGGCACAGATCTGGACAAAGATCCTGATGTTTTCCTCACATCCCAGTGATGTTCTCCCCACATCCCAGTGTTTTTCCCACATTCTGATGATCTCCCCAAATCCCAATGTTTCCCCCAAATCCCGATGTTTTCCACACATCCTGATGTTGTTTTCCCCATATCCCGATGTTTTCCCCACATTCTGATGATCTTCTCCCCAAATCCCAATGTTTCCCCCAAATCCCGATGTTTCCCTCACATCCTGATGTTGTTTTCCCCATATCCCGATGTTTTCCCCACATTCTGATGATCTTCTCTCCAAATCCCAATGTTTCCCCCAAATCCCGATGTTTTCCACACATCCTGATGTTGTTTTCCCCATATCCCAATGTTTTCCCCACATTCTGATGATCTTCTCCCCAAATCCTGATGTTTCCCCCATATCCCGATGTTTCCCTCACATCCTGATGTTGTTTTCCCCATATCCTGATGTTTTCCCCACATCCTGATGTTGTTTTCCCCATATCCCAATGTCTTCCCCACATCCCAGTGTTTTCCCCACATCTCAATGATCTTTTCCTCGTGTCACCCTCGCTCCCAGCTCCACCAAGAAACCTTCAGAGAGCGCAGCAGCAACCGCCCAAAAGCCTTGGAATTCCACAAAATCCTGCTCCCAACGAGATCCCTGCCGGAGCCACGACAGCCGGGAAAGCAAACCGGGAGTATTTATAGGGCTGGATTAGAGTGGGATCTGCTGGGAATGCAGGGAATGGAGCAAATTCCCATTCCCAGAGAGGTGACAGATTGATGGGCTCTCACTTCCCAATCCATCTTTTTCTTTACACAGAGCTGCTGCAGCTTTATCCAGCTCTGCTCCTGGAATTCTCTCCCGTTCCCGCTCCCTTCGGGCCGATGGGAATGCACGCAGGCATTAGGGACAGATATTAATTAAAAAATTATTAATTAATTAATTCATATTAATTCAATCCTGGAATTGCTCCTCCACTTCCTACTCCAACCACCAGCTCCACAACAACCTTTTCCATCGGGATAATTGTGTTATCCCGGGAGGAATGGATGGGATGATCATCCCACATTTTATTTCCACAAAACCTGGCAAAAAACGGGTTTTTCCTTGGATAATCCCACCGAAATCTGCCAGCTGGGAAAACGCAGGAATACCAAATTTTACAAATCCTGGAATTTCCAACCACCCAGAGCACGGAGGAGAAAATATTTCCGCTGGGATAAAACCCGCGAGAGAACATTCAGGAAAAACAGGGATGTGGACAAAAAGCTTTTCCCATCCGTTCTAGGATTCAATGGAACGTGGCCAGTCCCACCCCTCTTCCCACCCATCCATTCTGTTTTATTTTAATCACCAGCCCCAAACCCCATCCATGGGCAGCAGTGCTTGGATCAGCTGGATACAATCAGTCCCAGCAGGAATCCAAACCCGTAATTACGTGGAAAAACGGAGGGAGGGTTTATTTATGCAGGGGATGGGAGTTTTGAGGATGAGACGAATAAATCAGGGGGAAACGGTTTAAATAAATGGGATTGGGGAAGTTTGGTGAAGAAAAGCAGCTGCAGCTGAGGCTCTGTGGCTTCTGAAATCGCAGGAAGAACGGAGGGTTTGTACCTGGAATGCTTTGGGAATGTTGGGATTCTGGGAAGCGGCGCAGCCCCCCCGCCTTGGCTGTGAATCCATTTCCTACCCAGCTTTGTTCAGCCTCCCATAAAAACTTCCTGCCCTTCCACCGACCTTCCCAGAGCGCTTTTCCCAACCCTGGAGCCATTCCCACCTTTTCCCAGGCTGGCAAAACCTCCCTGTGAGCGACTCCCTTCGGAATCACATCCAGCTTTATCCCCGGCTTCACCTCCGAACCACCAAATTCCATCCAAACCACCTCTCCCAAAAACACCTCTGGGGACTCTCCCAAGTTTTCCCAACCGCTGGAAAACACGGATTTGATATTTTTTTTCCCTCTCACCCAGGGATGCACACACAATGCATCTCCTCTGGTTGACAACCCCTCTTCTATTTCGGGAATGCTCATCCGCAGGTGGAATTGGATTTCTGTTCCCATGACTGACAACACAACTCCATCCCGGCCTATGGCAGCTGCTGCTATTTTCAGCTCTCTGCCTCTCTCCAGTATTATTCCAAAGGTGAGAACTATTTCCAGAGAACACCAGAACAGCGTTTTTCACACCTTCACAGGGGAAAAAAAAAATATGGGAAAAAAAAAAAAAACAATGGAGGGATTTTGGAAGTTTTGCCACGGGGCGAAGAATTCTCTGCGGTGAAGGGAGTTAATGAGCTCGTGGAGGGGTTAAAATGGAATTAAAATCCATGTTGGAATGGGGAAAATAATCTTAAAAGTGGGGTGCCACAGAGATATTCCTCAGCAGCAGGCAGGGAAGTGCTGATTCCATCGATCCTGGCAATGTGGGAATGGGAATTGCGTGTAGGGATTTGTAAATCCATAAAAACCGGCGAAAAGGGATGGAATTCCGAGCTGGAAATGGTGAATGTGGAGGGTGGGATTTGGGTTTACAGCACGACTTCTCAATCCAGCGTGAGAGTGAAGGATCCTCTGGAGCCTCTGGAAGGGCTGGGATCCTCGGGAAGAGAAGGAGAGGGTGGGATAATGAGGCAGGGAATGGTAAGCAGTTAATTAGCAATTAGAGAGGGAGAGGCAGCGATTCCTCCTCGCCTCCCAACTCATCCCGACATTCCCCAGGAGTGGGAATGGCTCCTGCCCACCCCATGGGAACAGAAAAATCTGTTCCCATGATGGAAAAAATGTGGAAAATGGGGAAAAAATGGGGGGGAAAATGGGGGGAAATGGGAAAAAAAATGGGAGAAAAATGGGGGGGAAATGGGGAAAAATGGGGAGAAAATGGAGGAAAATGGGGAAAAAATTGGGAGAAAAATGGGGGGAAATGGAAGAAAATGGGGGAAAAATGGGAGGGAAATGGAGAGAAAATGGAGAGAAAATGGAGAGAAAATGGGAAAAAATTGGGAGAAAAATGGGGAGGAAATGGGGAAAAACGGGGGAAAAATGGGAAAAAAGGGAAAGAAATGTGAAAGAAATGGGAAAGAAATGGAGAAAAAATGAGAAAAAATGGGGAAAAAATGGAAAAAAATGGGGGAAAATAGGGGAAAAATGAGGGGAAAATGGGGAAAATTGGGGAAAAAATGGGGGGAAAATGAGGGAAAAAATGGAAAAACAATGGGAAAAAAATGGGAAAAAATCCAGCCACAATGCCAGGATAAATGGAATTCACCTCAAGCCATCCACGTGCAATTCCCACCGACATTCCCGAGCCAGCCCTTCCGTCTCAGTGCCCCACAGGGCTGCAGGGAAGGAATTTTTCCCCTGAAGCCACGGCTGCTC